CATCCACCTGCCTGAGACAGAGGTTCCCACTGAACTAAAAGTCTGTTCTGGCTTGCCTGGCTAGTCAATGAGTTGCTGGCATCTACCTGTCTCTGCATCTACCTGTGCAGCCACATACAACTTTTCATATGAATGCTGGGGATTTGAACTCAGGTCCTCATGCTTGCACAGCAACTACTATTACCTGCTGACCCATCTTCCCAGTCCCGGGGTGTGTTTTTTGTTTTCCTTTTTAATTAGGGTCGGCTTCCTCCCTTTTCCTGGTCCACTTCAGTCTTCCCCGTCCCCCTGTTCCCCCCCACACACACCCCAGGTCCTTCTGCCTACCTGACTTCACTGTGTTCTTTGCAGGGCGTCCTAGCCCAGCCCCAGCCCTGGTGGAAGATCCAGTTGTTCATGTGGGAGCCAGTGCTGTTTGGGACCTGGGACGGTGTGTTCACATCCTGCATGATCAACATTTTTGGGGTTGTCCTTTTCTTGAGGACCGGCTGGCTGGTGGTGAGTGGTGAGCTGGTGACTCTGGAACTTCTCGTGGCCGTGTGACATGGAAAGGCGTCTTGGGTCCCACCATTTAGGGAACAGGGTCCTGAAGCACAGATTCTCCCGGGAGGAGAAGCGGGAAGCGCAGTGCATGGCTGGCGAGTGCTTAGAATTCTGGGAGCCTGGGCCTCAGAGGTCCCTGGTGAGAGCCTCAGGATGGACCTGACTACATGGGCTCAGGGTTCACTGTGAGGGGCAAGGATCAGAGAGGTGGCGATTTTGCTTTTTACTCAACTTTGTGACCCTTCTGGGCTTCCTGGTGTTTGTCACATCACTTTGTGCCCCTCTGAAACATCAGCCCCCATGCACATGGTTCCCTCTTTCACTGCTCCTGGTCCTGTTCATAGGACTGCTTGGTTAGAGGTATAAGCGCTTGCTTATTGCTCAGGATTTAGTGCTCAGGACAGTCCCTCCTGTACTAGAGCCTGATGCTTGAGTTCATCTTTAGCTCAGGGCACCTCTCCTTCATGCCACCTCTCCTTCATGCCTTGGGCAAAAATGTTCTAGTGCTTCCCTTGCGGATATGTGCCCTGAGCCAGGTTCCCAGAACCCTCACACAGTGAACTTCGGCTGCCCCGAACGAGAGACCACCCAGTTAAGAATTACACATCAGTGAAGGCCTGGTGTGTGTAGACACCAATGCTGCCCTGGGATTGTAAAGTCCAGACCTTTGTTCTCTGGTGGTGCAGACTCTCTTTAAGAGAGATCTTCCGAGCATTAAGGCCCCCAGAAGTGGAGCCCTGCCATGGATGCAAGGTGTCTGGGAAAGCTGCCTGAAGAGGAGTTGCACGAGGCTTGAAGCTGGTTTGGGTCCATAGGTGAAGGGAGAGAGCTGTTCAGAGGGACGATGTTCCCAAGTGCTTGACAGAGAAATGGGCAATGCTGTGGAGGACCTACACCCGTGAGGTACATTGTCGGGTAAGCCTCAGTGAAGGTGAGACTCTAGAAGGCATTTCTGTTGCAGTCTAGAGGCAGAATGCCCTTGGGGAAGCTTCAGGCTTAAAACTTTTTGTTTTTTTCTGAAGTTATCAGTGTCAGGAAAGAAGACAGCTCCACGTTGGTTTTTTTAGCCCTCTCTGTTTGATTTTTAAGAAATGCTATCTAAAACGAGCTCCACCCCCAGAGTGAAGGTGAAAGCTGTATTCATGTTTATTGTTGTGCATGTACTGAAGGCTCCTGGGGGGCCGCAGTTGCTGTCAATCAGGCACGTGTGGAGGCTCTACCGGGTTGCTCAGGTACCACTGGCAGACTTTGACCACGTCACATCACATGGTCTCCCTGTGGAGCTGTGTCTTCCAGGCTGCAGACTTCCACCAAGACCACAGATAGAATAGGAGAAAAGTTCCTGCCTGCAATGGCAGCCAACGTCTCTTTAATGTCCTAGCTTCAGAAATTATATCCCATCACTTGTGGGACACTGAATACAGGTCCACAGAGGGCAGGAGACCACACAGGGACAGGAACACCAAAGTCAGGGGGTCACAGGCCATCTTTGTGCTTGTCCATCCTTTTATCCTAAAATAACCCCTGCCTTTCAACTCTGCCATTGGTGTCATAATTTTGGCCATGAAAAGAGAAGATAAATATGAAATACCCCAAACGAGACAGAGTATCCAGGGAATTGTGTGAAATTGAAATAGATATAGTGCCAAAAGCATTTCTTAAATAGAAAATATTAGCCCTAACACAACTTGGAGCAGTTTATAAACTGTAGCAGCGACAGCTCTGTTCTGAAGACGACAGGATCTTTATATTCACATGCAGACTACTTTCAAGTCTGAACAAAAGGAGGAGATGGCTCCATAGGATTTCATTGGCAGGGTAACATTTGCCAAGTCGGTAGTGGCAACACTCGGATGTCGTGCTCAGGTGTACATGTTTTGGGGACATCGGCATCCGGGACCAGGCTGCACCACGAGTGGAGTAGAGGGAGCCACGCGGGCACTTGCCAGCATCCAGGACCTGGCTGCACCACGAGTGGGGTAGAGGGAGCCACGCGGGCACTTAGTTCCTGTCAGCCTTCTCCACCCTTGCTCCCACCGCTACCATCTGGCACTGCCACCACACCCAGGAGCTCAGCAGTGCCCTGTGCCATCTGGCAGTAGCCGGGCTTTGCCCACGTGGCTGTTGGCATTCTCTTTCTGAAGGGAGCTCACAGCTGTCCTTATGCACCAGCCTAGGCCTTGGGGACATTCAGAGGGTGCAGTATTTATAAGCTGTGTAACGATAGTTAATAATAATAGCGTAACATTTATAGCAAAGTAAGATGTAGCAAGTAAGACTTACGGAGCACTTATGTGACGGGTGGCAGTCAAAGTGAGGTAAATGTGTCTAAGTCTCTAAAATCGAGTGCTTCCTGACAGCTGGGAGGCAGATATGGTCTGTTCTGTGAGGAGGCAGCTCAGAGCCGTGAGGTAGCAGAAGGCACAGTTGAGCTGCGTCCAGTCTGCTCACAGTGCACACACCTGGCATGCAGAGCCCAGCTCTCTGCAGACAGGTGTCCCCTAAGGGACCCTCCTTTGCTTCGGTCTCCACACTGGGTCAGACGTGCAGAGGCCCCTCTGGCAGTGGCTACTGCTGCATTGTCACAGCTGTTTGTTCAGCTTTGGAGTGGCCCTGAGCCTCCTATGGATTTTTTGTTTTCTTTCTTTGTTGGTTTTGCTTGCTGGGCTTGAACCCAGGCCTCATAATAGGTTAGCACTCTGTCATTTCTGATCTGTTTTATTCCCTCGAGGAGCTTGACTTAGTTAACGGAGACACCTATAATGCTGTACAATAAAAATAAAAATTGCAAGACAGGGGGCTCTAGAAGGGCCTTGGCTTGCCGCCTGAGCACTTCCTGAGCACTTCCAGTTGGCAAGGTCTCGCCGGCAGGTCACTCCAGAACCTGGTGAACAGTGTGTTTCTGGGAAGGCCTCTCCCGATGACCTTAGAGGGAACAGTGGATAGAGACCCTTGCTTCTGACCTACTACGTGGCAGTGTTCAGGGTGGGGGAGGGGTGTTGCTAGAAAGAGAAAAGCAGAATGGGTCCATGTAAGGTCCACAGTTAGAAGAGTTAGGATGCAAATGTCCTCATGGCGTCTATAAAATCCCACCGATTAGCTGGGTCCTGCAATAGAAAGCCCCCCCACCCCAATCTTGCTCTCCATCCTAGACCAGCAATGTAGCCTGAGCACTCCTCACTTGCAGGGCGTCCTCCAGCTTATTGTAAGGCCCTTCTGCTGTCCCTTCCTTCTCTCTCCAACACTCAGCACATCTTCCAGGAGTCTCCATTGCCCGTGGTCTAACAAAGCAGGCAGTGTTGCAAAGGGCTCGCCCTGTGTCCTTTTCCCTTTTTTTGGTTTCCATGCTGAGATGTCCCTGTGTGTGTACATGCATGTCAGCGTGCATGTCCAGGAACGTGTGCTTATTTGCTCAGCAAGCAGTTAGCGTGTGGAGGTTGCTTAGCCCAGCGAGCGTGGGGGGTGGGATAGAAATGTGTCCTGTCTTCGCAGCTCAGACCTGGAGACAGCGACTGACCAGGGAAGAGACTTGGTAACTAGAGACTTAGCAAGTACTCTGAGAAGTAAGCACTAAGTTGGGAGTCCTGGAGGGCTCAGAGGAAGGGCGCCAATGACAGCTACTAGAGGAAGAAACCCTGGATACTGTCCTCAGGGATGCTTTGGAGTTAGCCTGGCAAGCCAGTAGAATGAGTAGGAGGGCTTTCTAGGCAGGGGACTGGTGTGGGTAAGAGGATGGCAGGGAGGCCTTTTGTGTCACGTTACCTGCAGGATAGATTTGCAGGCTCCTGGTAAATCTGTGGGTTTTTTTAAATAATTCAGTTTTACTTCATTTGCAACAGTATTTTGCATGCATGTATGTTTCTGTGAGGGTGTCACATCTTGGAGTTATAGACAGGTGGGTAATGGGAATTGAACCCGGGTCCTGAGGAAGAACAGCCACTGCTCTTAATTGCTGGGACATTTCTCCAGCATCAAATCTGTTTTAATTTTACATTTGTGTATAGGAGTGTTTGACTACATATGTGTACCACGTACATGCCTGGTGCCTGAGGGGTCAGGAGATCAGTCCCCTGGATCCCCTGGAACTGGAGTTAACAGATGGTTGTGAACAAACATGTGGGTGCTGGGAACTGAACCCTGATCTTCTCCAAGAACAAGTGCTCTCAACTGCTGAGCCATCTCATCTCTCCAGCCTGGCTGGTGAGTCTCTTGAGTTGCTGTCACTTTAGGTATAAAGTCATCAGAGTCTGAAAGGTGGACTTCCCACCTCTCCGAGACTTCTTGTACCTTAGCTTGGAAGAAGAACCAGGAGGTACTTCACACTTCTTTTCTCCTTGTTCCTCTGTGGCCCCTCTGCCCAGTGGGTAACCCAGTGGGCAGGGTACTCAGTGCTTCTATTGAGAGCAGTTCTAGTGAGATGTCTCCCAATCTGATACCCTTTCCCCATTCTGCTACAGGGAAATACAGGTGTGCTCCTGGGCTTGCTCCTGGTGTCCTTCGTCATCCTCGTGGCCCTCATCACCGTGCTGTCAGGCATTGGCGTCGCAGAGTGTGGCAGCATAGGCAGTGGTGGTGTCTACTCCATGATCTCCTCAGTCCTTGGTGGGCAGATGGGAGGCACTGTTGGGCTGTTGTACGTGTTTGGGCAGGTGAGTCTTCAGCATGGGTCAACTGCTCACCTCTACCTGTTCATTTGCATTGTCTCCTTTTCCCCTTCCTAATTTGGCCTGGGGGAGGCAAAGGTGGGGACAAGGACCCCACTTGATAGAGGACCACACTGGGCTCTCAGCACACACCAGCAATCTAGGTCAAGAGCCTGAAATCCAAAGCTCCTGTCTCCTCCTACCTCCGCCTCATGAATTCCTGGGGTGCTCAGGCCAGGGACGGGCAGTGTCTCACTTCTCCTGCCTTTCTAAGAGGGGTGTGCAGGGCAGGGGTGTGCGGGGCAGGGGTGTGCGGGGCAGGGGTGTGCGGGGCAGGGGTGTGCGGGGCAGGGGTGTGCGGGGCAGGGGTGTGCGGGGCTGGGGTGTGCGGGGCTGGGGTGTGCGGGGCTGGGGTGTGCGGGGCTGGGGTGTGCGGGGCTGGGGTGTGCGGGGCTGGGGTGTGCGGGGCTGGGGTGTGCGGGGCAGGGGTGTGCGGGGCAGGGGTGTGCGGGGCAGGGAGCCCTCTGCACTTTGCACTGTGGATGGACATTGTGCCTCTGCCAGAGGCCTTTCCTGGACGCAGCCCTTTCCTATGGAGGTAAAGCTCTGACAGGTCTGATGACTTGGGTGGCCTTAAGCAGGCCACAGGCCCTCATGTGGATGCTTAGACAGAGGTGGAGAAATGCCAAAGCTCATCTAAAGCTTAGTTAGCTGGGACACAGGGATGGGGATTTGATGCTGGGAAGGCAACACACAGACATTAAGAAGTAGCTTTTTGTAAGTGTGGCTTGGAACAAAAGGGTTTTTAATGGAAAAACAAACGGTGGCAGGTAACTGAAAAACAATAAAAAAAATGGGCTTTGTTACTTCTCATTTGAAGCAGTAAATACACCATATTCTTTAACAACACAAAGCTGAGTGTGTGCATGGGTGTGAGTGTATATGTGTATGTGATTGTGTATGTGTGTATTTTTGTGTGCATGGGTGTGAGTGGAGAATGTATTTGTGAGTATGTAGGACAGGTGCATGGGAGGTACCTCACCGCTTGCTTAGAAAAGGCAGTTGCTTCTGTTGGAGAAAGATCTAGAAATACTATATATGTTGAGCATCCTCAATTAAAACCCCCCAAATTCATAACACTCCAAAAATCTAAAGTTTTTTTGAGCATCACATCGAGCAGGGTTAAAATATTTCAGATTTTGGAGTTAGGTGTGGTGGACATGCCTGTAATCCCAGCATCCATCTGAGAGGCTAAAGCAAGGGGTTTGTGACTTGGCAAAATAGTAAGATCCTGTCTCTAAAGAAACAAAAGCACACCAAACAAAAAAAACCAAACAACAGAACACTCCTACCAAACCAAAGCAAGCCAAGCCCTCAGATGACAGGAAACAGCAAACGAAACAAAAGCCTCCAAGTTTCAGATGTTGGAGCATTTTTGAAGCTGGATTTTCACAGGAGGAAAAAGCTTAATAAAGTAAGACTTTCATAGATGTTACAAAACCCAAGAGTTCAAACCATGCATTGCCCCTGTGACAGCCGTTTGGGGATGACTGACTAGTGGTCATCACAGCCTTCTATGCTTCCCCAAGAGGTGTTTTCCTGCTGTCATGGATCCACAGGGACTGCAGTCTCACTTTCTCCACTCCCTGGGCAGACAGAAGATGAGGACAAGGGTTGGGCATCTCAAATGGGGAGAGAACACTGGAAGGAAGAGTGTTCACAAAGGTTTGCCCAGCGGAGGCAGCCATAGTGAGAAACTTCTGGGCCCAGGCCTCAGTCAGTGGTCCCTGTAGTCAGTGCTGGCGGGTCTCTGCTGTCTGAGCTCATCTGGGCAGATTCTCTGACAGCGGTGCCTGACCTTCCAGTCCTTATATTGACTTCTGGCTTTGGTTTGCTTGGATGCTGACGATGTTGGTGCACACACTTCTAGGAATGCTGATCTGCAGCTCCTGTGAGATGGGTTTGTCTGGCTTTGGTGTGGGGTAACACTGGCTTTTAGGGCTCACCTGGTAGTGGTGGGAGGGTGTTTCCTTCTACTCTTTGGAAGTTTATATAAAGGGTTGGCATTAACTCTTTAAATGCTAAGTGGAACATAGCAATGCAACCATCAGATCCTAGTTTTCTTGGTTGCCATTGTCTCAAATATTCCAATTACTAGCATACTCTGCCTGCATGGGAGTGTCCTGATTCTGTTTTGTGTAATGTTGGCAGGTCATGTCTTTTTACACATCAGTCTGCTTCATCCAGGCTATCTGTAGTGCTGACATATTATCTGTTCCCTTGTAATCCTCTTTGTTTATGTCTGGTTGTATTGTCACTTCTATCATTCCTTACTTTAAACATTGTTAAAGTTTCTTCTTGACCAATCTAGATAAAGAATTATTCACATTTTCATCTAATCTTAAATTGCAAAGAATTTGGTTTTCATTGTAACATTTTCACGAGAAATTGTCTTTGTCAATTCGTCCCTCCCCCATCTTCCTGTTTCCCTGCTTGTGTCCTTCCACCTCCTGTGGCCTTCTTATTTCATGTCACCTATCAAGCAACCAACCCTGTTGGAGATAGGGTCTTACTATGTAGCCTGGGCTGGCCTGGAACGCATTGTATAGACCATGCTGGTCTTGAACTTACAAAGATCTGTCTGTCTCCACCTTCTGAGTTCTGGGATTAAAGGTGTGGGCCACCATCACCTGGCATTATTTTTATTTTTAATTATGTGTGAGTGGTGGTGTTGAGGGGTTGTGCAGATGAGGGCAGTGCCATGGAAGCCAGTACAGGGGCTTGGATTCCTGGAGCTGGACCTAGCAGGTGGTTGGTGTTCTCTGTATTGTGTAATATATTGCTATTCGTCACTGAGCCATCTCCAGCCCCTATATTTTAAAACTGCTATTATTAGTTCTTTGAGAACTTCATACAATGTGTGTTGAGCATATTCGGACACACCCCAACTTCCTAATACACCTCTCTTTACTTACCCACCCAACTACGTGTCTTTTTCCCCCTCTGCATCCTAGGATGACCTTGACCCCCATGGTGAGCTTCTGCCTCTTAAATGCTAGAATTACAGGCCTGTATGCCTGATTAGAATCATGACTTTAAAATCTTGCCGTGGGTTCTGGAGGGATGACTCACCAATTAAGAAAGAGCACCAACTATTCTCCCGAAGACCCAGGTTCAATCCCCAGTGCCCATTGGATGGTCCACAATCACCTGTGACACCAGTGTCAGGGGATCTGACTTCCTTCTGGGCGTCAGTTACCCAAGTGGTGCACAGACATACATGTAAGCAAAGTGCCCATGCATGTAAAATAAAAATCAGTAAAATAGAAGTCCTACATGAAAAAATAAACATTAAAAAAAAGCCTTGCCATGTCTTGTACACAATCACTTCTGAGGCCTGGCTAGCCGCTCTACCCTTTGGGACCAGATCCATGGTCAGAGGACTGGACTGCAGCTAGAAACTCTCCTTCCTCCCTGTCATGCCCCTCATCTGAGGGGCCTCTTTTGGCAGCTTACTGGGATATGAAAATGTCTGGCTTTCAGCCTGTGAATGATGGTAAAATTATCTGTCATGGCCACTTTGTGCTGGGCTCCCTATGGCAAGAGCGGAGGATCAGAAAGCTTTTTTAGAGTAGACAGAGGCCTGGAGTTTTCACTGTGGGAGTGAGCACGGCCACCATCCATACTAAGTTAGGATTTGTGCCTGAAGGAGAGAGAGTGGAGGGGCGTGACTGTCTTCTACTGAGGTGTCCTGAACACCTGACTCACCGAAGCAAAGACCCCGGATGGAGGTGTTCTGAGAATACGCCTCTTCCTCTCTTTACAATGGTGAGCACCTCCCACCTTGTGTGGCAGGGAGTTATAGATGTTCCTGTGTTGAGAATGGTAAAGAGAAGGAAAAGTCCCTGATTGTGTTAGAAGGAAATGAAAACACTATCCAACTATAATGAGCTCTGGGAATGTTTACAGAGACTCAGTAATGCTTTTCAAGGAAGAGCGTGTTCCAGCCTGGATGCCTTAGGGCAGCTGGCTTGCTCAGGAAGACTTGGGGTTCAGACCCGCCCACTCTGTGTCGCTGTCTCAAGCCGGATGTGGGCTAAGGCCTTGAGTTCTGAGCCAGAAGGGACTATAGTTTCCTGCCCATGCACAGGCCCCTCGTCCCTGGAGATGGGTTCACTTTTGTACCCAGCTATTCCAGCTCCACGGTGATGGGCGAGTCTGCATGCTAGAAATGTAAAAGCAATACAGTAACTCTAATGGTGTGGTGCCTCTCCCCTCCCCCACTCAGGATCTTACTGTACAGCCTAGTCTATCTGAATGTTGCCAAGTAAAACAAGCTAGTCTTGAATTCCCAATCCTCCTGCCTCTGCCTTCTTAGTGCTTAGACAAGTGCCCTCATCCCTAGCTTGATAGTTAACCTTGACTCTCAACTTAGTGAAGCCTATTTCTTGCTGTGTCTGTGAGGATGAAGAGCTGTCCTGACTTCAGACACCACAGTCCAGTAAGCCGGGGGTCGGATGGGAAAACACAGAGGAGGAAGTCAGAGCGGATGGTGGTGGCCCTCAGCAGGTGCACACAGGCTCTACCACCACCCATTACCATCAGACTCTGGCTTTGGCAGCCTTTCAATGCAGACCCACTCCAGTGACACCCAGGGAGCTTCCATACCCTTGGCTCCAGGCTGGTACTGTGTCTTTGTCCCTCTTGTCCTGAGGTTTTCATCTCTTGGATTTAGCAGCCATTTGCTTATCTGGATTTCCAGCTTGTAAATGACCATGTGGGACCACCCAGCCTCTGACTGTGCTAGCCAACCCAGTAAATCCCCTTTTGGAATTTGCATGTGCATTCACTGAACCCTGGCCAGGAGAGAGTGCTTAGGCCTTTCTGTGTTCACCTTGGAAGAGCAGCTTACTTTTAACATTGTGCTGTGTTGTCAGAAGTTGGCCAAGTCAACCAGACTTTGCCCAGCCAGGTTTATCTGCATTAGAGGGTGATGAGGTAGTAGTGGTCACAGGTAAGGGCACTTGACTATGAAAGTTACATCCCACAGTAGGCACTGAAGGCTCATATCATGCTTAACAAATGGAGGGCACTGAAGAGGTGAAACAAACATTGAGGTTTTAAAATCTGTACCTGGTGTGTTCACTTGCCTGATTATGTGTTCACATGGTTATAGTGCATGTGTGTGTATGTGCATGTATATATGCATGCTATGGAGGCCTGAAGTAGACATTGACATTTTCCTTGGTTACTCTTTATTTATTGAGGCAGGATTTCTTGCTGAATTCAGAACTGGCTATTTCCAGCCAGGGAATCCCTTTGTGTGCCTCCAAGTGGAATGCTAGAGTTACTATCGGCCACCACACCTGACCAGCTTTTTCCACGGGTTCTGGGCATCTGAACTCTGGCCTTTAGGCTTGTGCAGCGAATGCTTTATCCGCTGAGCTATCTTCCCAGCCCAAGTATTTTGTTTTTTTTTAAAGGGTGTTTGTATTCTTGCTATAGGAGACAATAGAATCTGAGTAAAGGGACCAAGCTAAAAAGAAAGGGGATCAAGGTCAATGATTATGCAAAGTGATGCTCATGCCACCAACATTTTATTACATTGTGCATGTGTGTATCATTGTATGCAGTTGGATGGATGTGCGCATATGTGTGTATTGTATATGTATATGTATGTGTTTGTTTATGTATACGTGCATACTGTATGTATGTGGAGGTCAAAGAACAACTTGTAGGAGTCGGCTCTCTCCTTCAACCCTGTGAGTCCTGGAACTCAAACTCAGGTCACTAGGCTTGGTGACGAGTGCCTTCACCTGATTGAGCCATCTTGCTGGCCCACACGTGACATTTTTTAAAGACAGGGTCTCACTGTGTGGCTTTGTAGACCAGAATGGCCTTGGACTCAGAGACCCACCTGCCTCTGTCTTAGTGTCTCAATCAAGTGTTGGGATTACAGTGTGCACCACCACACCCAACTCATGTCATCCTTGACTACTGATATGGGCCTGCCTTTTAAATATTTCTATAAAATGTAAAATCATGACTCTGGTATATGGGTGAGTGCAGCCTACTAGTAAGATATTTAGGAACACTGAGGAGGGAGGTGTGGAGGCCAGACAGACAGAACAAATCTGTACCTCCACAGTTAGGCACTTTAGTCAGTAAATGGAAAGACAAGTTTGCTGGGCTGGACAATCCAACTATCCACCTCAAGTTTTATAGGACTGCAAATCATAATCCTTCAGACTATCTGGTCACCAGACATAAGTTATTTCTGTATCTACTATAGACTGGCAGAAAGCAATATAAATTAACGTGTAACTTTACTCAGTCTGGGATATTTAATGCTACTTTAATCAACAGTGAATAATGAACCAGACCCTGACTTCCCCTGGATAGCCTGTGGGTCCCTTTGTTACACATCACATTGAAAAGATGTGCCACCCACTCTTTTTTATTCTAGTTCTATTTTTTTGAGACAGGGTTTCTCTGTGGAGCTTTGTGAACTAGGCTGGCCTTGAACTCATAGAGATCTGACTGCCTCTGTCTCCCCAGTGTTGGGATTAAAGGTATGTGCCACCACTGCCCAGCTTCTAGCTCTACATTTTATTTATTTAAGACAGGCTCATACTGGTTGACCTATGTAGATTAGACTGACTGTAGTTTTCATTGATCCTCCTGCTTTTGCCTCCTGAGTATTGGGATTACAGCTATGTGCCACCATGCCTGGCAGCTAGATAAGTAAAAGAATAATACTGCCAGGGATTGTGGCTCGTGTCTGTAAGTTCAGCAGTCAGGAGGCTGAAGCAGAAGGCTTACTGTGAGTTTGAATCTAATTTGGGATATATAGTGAGATTCAGGTCAGTCTGGTCTACAATGTTAGACCCTGTCTTAAAGAACCAAAGCCAACTGATACAAACCAAACCAAATGGCAGGATTTATAAGCCTGGAGAAATTGTTTATTCAGTAAAATGCCTGTTTGTAAGCCTGGGGGTATGCATTTGATCCCCAGAGCCAGTGTGAAAAACAAACAAGGTGTGGCGGCACATACTAGAGAGGTGAAGATAAGAGGATTCATGGGCTGCAGTCATCAGCCGGGCATTCCTGGCCAGTCCTAGGCCACTGGGAGAGTCTGCTTCAGAAAAGAGCTGGATTTACACACACACACACACACACACACACACACACACACACACACACACTAAAGAAATGGCGTTCAGATGTCTGGGAGAGTGCTGCTGTGGCCCTGAGGACAGGCCTCTTCGTGCATGGGTTTGTTGTAGAGATTTACTTAATGAATAATGCAGGCAGAGAAAGCCAAAGACCTTTTGACCCACTGTCCCATAATCTTTTTGCCTTGGTGACCACTGGCAGCTCATTCCTCTCTTGCTCAATATGTAGATGAGCAGAAATGGGGCCCCGAGGCAGGCTCCCCTGTGGAAGAGCAGGTTTGACCTGGTGCTGACTCCCAGGTTGAGAACCACAGTGCTGGTGGAGAGAGAGTGTGTGTGTGTGTGTGTGTGAGAGAGAGAGAGAGAGAGAGAGAGAGAGAGAGAGAGAGAGAGAGAGAGAGAGAGAGAGAGAGAGAGAGAGAGAGAGAGAGAGAGAGAGAGAGAGAGAGAGAGAGCGCACAGGTCTGCAGCTGATGTGTCTCTGTTGCTGGCTGGCTCTTCCTGCCGGGAATTGCCTGGCAGTGTGTTGCAGGTGCCATGTACATCACCGGCTTCGCGGAGTCCATCTCAGATCTGCTGGGCCTTGGGAATATCTGGGCTGTGCGAGGAATTTCAGTTGCTGTGCTTCTGGCTTTGCTGGGCATCAACCTAGCTGGTGTCAAGTGGATAATCCGCCTCCAACTGCTGCTGCTGTTCCTATTGGCTGTCTCGACCCTGGATTTCGTGGTGGGTTCTTTCACCCATCTGGACCCAGGTAGGCCTTTGGAGTGTTTTGTAGATGTTGATGGGTATAATTTGTGAGGTATCTTCCCTTCCTACAGGCTATACCTACCATTCGGGTGGGCTGGGCTTCATCAGGTGCACAGCTTTGGTTCAGCTCCCTGGGCCCACAAGCCCCTCAACACACACACACACACGCACACGCACACGCACACACACAGAGGCACGCATGCACGCACTTTTACTTCATGTATTTTCCATGATTCTCTTTTGTTTCTTTCTATAAAAAAATTACAAAAAATGTAGCTAACACAACTTCCACCAAACAAAAGCACAAGCAGATGGGCAGAGACCAAACCCATAGCAATGACTGGGACACAGAACAAGAAAGAAATGTGGGGATAGAGAGGAAGACAGGCTTTGAGGTTATCTGCCAGTTTTCTTTATGTTAAGAACTTGATGTAAATATATGTTTCTGGGCATGGTGGCACCTACCTGTAAATATTTGGGAAGTTGAGGCAGGACGATTTTGAACAAAATGAGGACCTTGTCTTGAAAAACAAGCAAACTACAACAAATGTTGACGATTAGCAACCAAAATGTTTGATTAGCTGTTGTTTTATATTTGCTAAGTTATTTTTCAAAATACAATGTGCGCTCTTTACTTAAGCTTAAAAATAATCAGGTGGCCAGGTATAGTTTCTCACTCTTTGGGATGATGTAAGTGGTAAGTCTTTTTCTTCTCTTATTTTCTTTCATCGAGACAGGGCTTCTCTGTAGTTCTGGCTGTCCTGGAACTCACTTTGTAGACCAGGCTGGCCTCTAAATCACAGAGCTTTGCCTGCCTCTGTGCCCCAAGTACTGGGACTGAAGGTGTGCATCACAATGCCCATTGAATATTTTAACTATTCAATGAACCCATCACCGACTAGTCTAGCTGTTCCCTACCTGTAGGTTGAGATCCCTTTGGGTTTCACAGAGGTCATCTATGACCATGGGAAAACCACAGATATTTACATATGATTCATAACAGTAGCAAAATTACAGTTATGAAGTAGCAATGAAAATAATCTTGTGGTTAGGGAACTGTATTAGAGAGTCACAGCATTAGAAGGTGGAGAACCACAGGTTTAAACTAGCCCAAGGTTTCCTCAGCCTCCTGGGAGCCTAGCAGTGGGAATCCTACATCCCAGGGCTCTGAATAACTTTGCCACTTTCTGATTTGTGTTATTTTAGTGTCAAGGTCAACTCTGCCTGTCCTTGGAATGCACACCTGTAGATAGGCCTGACACACTCCAGAAACTCTGTGTTTATATGGCAATGGAGACCAGGCTTTAAAGAGAGGGGGAGATGGAGCCCAGACAGGAGCCTGTAATAGCGGTGATGGGAAAGTGTTCAAGCACCTGCCGTGCTGGGCACTTCCCCAAGTATCTGCCACAGCTTGCCTTACTTGGTTGGTACCAGAGCCTCTTGAGATGGGAGCACTGATACCCACTTTACAGACAAAGCAAGAGGCTGTGGTTTGTGCGAATGCATGGCAGAGCTAGGGTGTGAAACCAGACATGATGTTGCAGTGGCGCCTGTCCGGGGTGGGCAGAGGCCTGTTTTTGTGTGGCATGCTTGTCTACTCCCTTTGAGGTCGTCACCCTTGCTTTGTGTTCTTACCTTTACAAACAACAAGCAAACTTAAGATGTCGGTGCCATTATACTTTTATTTTTGATGTATTTCTAGATTTTATTTGTATTTATGTGAGTGTATGTGTGTCTTGTTTGTGTGTATGTCATGGGTGTTCAGGTGCCTTCTGCTATCAGAATCCTTAGATACAGAGTTGTACATAGTTGTAAACCGCTTGACATGGCTTCCAGGAATCGAACTCAGGTCCTGTGGAAGACCAGCCAGTGCTCTTAACTGCTGAGCCATCTCTCCAGCCCCCACTCTTGCCTTTTTAAATGTTGTTGGTTGTAGACTGTTGAGAGTTGAGTTGGTGTATGGTACTGTTTCTTCAGATGTTGTAATTCCAATGTCAGAAACTGTGTATCCTCTGATTTCCTGGATGTTCCCCACTTAAATCCAGAAGCCCCACCCCCACCCCGACTTAAGGGCTGACTCCTATACAGTAGGGATCCTCAGTACTCACTCCATGCCAAGGGCCTGGTGGTCAGCCTGGCTCACCTGAAGTGCTGCTGCCCTGCCTGGGGCTTCTGTGTGGGAGGGAAGTTGTGTTGTTTTCCTACTTTGCGCCATCCTGCCCAGTGGCTCTCACACTGGGGAGACAGACTGGACCGGCCTGTGGCCGCCAAACTGTCAACCAAGGGAGAAAAGTCTACCCAGTCCCTGACTCCCAGGGGCCCTCCCCTCCACTGACACAGTTGCTAGGAGACTATGGTTGATTGGCAGGGCAGTGCTGCTGGCTGCCTCGAGCTTCACTAGATTCATGTGTTTTCCTCCTTGACTGGAGACATTCTTGGCTGCTCTTCTAAGTGACTCCAAATGCTTGCTCTTCCTTCTGGTCAGTACTTTAGAGGGATGTAGTATGAGCTGACATTTATTTTCAATAATTCCCATAACAACTGGCCCTTCTAGTATCTGCTTTTGGCATCATTGGTTTATCAGACTGTTTTCTCTGCAGTTAAAACCCACACTGAAACCAGGCTGTAAACCTTTAGTATGGATTTAGCAGAATGACTTCAAGTATTAAGGGGAAAAAGATATATTTCTTTAAGATTTATTTATTTATTTATTTGTGTGTGTGTGTGTCTGTATGTGTGCATGTATGTGTTACCTGCATGTGTGTATATAAACTATGAACATGCCTGGTGCCCAAGGAGGCCAAAAAAGGGAATTGTAGTGATATATTATTTATGATTTATTAAAACTTGCCTGAGGTTTCAGAAAGCAAAGTCAGCCACAGGCCATAGAAGCCAGGCACACATCTTTAATCCCAGAAGCCAGAAGCTGGGAAGTGGTGTTGCACACCTTTAATCCAGCACTCTGGAGGCAGAGGCAGGCGGATCTCTGTGAGTTTGAGGCCAGCCTGGTCTACAGAGTTCCAGGACAGCTTCCAAAGCTACACAGAGGAACCCTGTCTCGAAAAACCAGAGGGGGTGGGAATCTCTGTGAGTCCAAGGCCACCCAGATCTACACAAGAGTGAATCAGTCTAAAAGAGAATTATAGTTCACACTTTTAATTCCAACATTGGGAAGTATATAAGACAGAAGCAAGGTCTCAATAAAGACATTCATTCTCCAGCCACACTGAAAAGAGAGGTGTTAGTTCTCCAGTCACACTAAGGAGAGGCAGCAGTTTGAGGCTTGGATCATCCCTTTCAGCCTGAGGTAAAGGTAAGAAGCTAGTGGCTGGCTGCTTTGCTTTTCTGATATTCAGCTTGATTGAAGCTTTTGAACACCAATTTCAGTCTCTGGGTCTTTTATTTTTTTTTATGTTACAGGGAATCAATCAGATCCCCTGGAACTGGAGTTACAGATGGTTGGGAACTGCCATGTGGGTTCTGGGAACTGAATCTGGATTCTCTGTAAGAACAGTAGAAGCTCTTAGCCACTCTCCAGACTAGCGACACTTAATGTATATATACATATACATACATATAAATACATATATATATATCTACATACACACATACACATATCTCTATACATATACACACATATACATACATACATACATACGTACAAACATACATATGCATGGGGCTGGAGAATTGGCTGCTTTGATATCCTCTTCTGGCACCAGGCACACATGTGGTACACAGACATACATGCAGATAAAACCCACATACACATGGGGCTAGAGAGATGGCTCAGAGGTTAAGAGCACTGACTGCTCTTCCAGGGGTCCTGAGTTTAATTCCCAGCAACCACATGGTGGCTCACAACCATCTGTAATGAGATCTGGTGCCCTCTTCTGTCCTACAGACATACATGCATACAGAATACTGTATGCATAATAAATAAATCTTAAAAAACACATATACACACAAAACCCTAACATTTGAAAATTAAAAAAAACATGATAAAAGTTTTTGTACTATGTTTCTCTCTTATTTGAATTTTAAAGGTAAAACAAGTCAGGTATGGCCTCACATCTATGAATTCAGGAAGCTGAGGCAGGAGGATTGGCATGAGTTCAAGGTTAGCCTGGGCTACAGAGTTAAGACCCTGTCTCAAAAAAGGAAGGAAGGGAGGAAAAGACAAAAGAAAGCAGGGAAGGAATCTTCCTTCTTTTTATGTTATGAAACCCTTAAATCCTGACACCTGTAAAAGGAAGAGCGAACTTTCCTTCCTGCTCCATGCTTTCACTCCTGTGGCCCAGGAGGAGATGAGCACTTAATGCATGTGTGCATGTGTTGAGTACACACAGGACTGCAGTGTGCTACTCTCCTGCTCCTGCTGAGAGTCACCTGGTGGGCGTTCTTCTGTTCTTATGGAATTTTAGTCACTATAAAAAAATACTTTCTTTTATTTTTTTCCTCCAAACCCTCCCCTACACACCTCACTCACTTTCAAATTCATCCTCTTTTCATTAATTGTTGTTACATGCATATATGAACATATATACTGTATAACATTCCCTATTACTGACTTAAAGGTGCCTTGAGTTTAAAGTCCTATCGCTGTAGTTTAGATTTCCCCAGTCTTGAACCATTACAGACGTGGCTGATGATCCTGTTAGGATGTGGGAATTGTTTCTGCAGGAGCAAGTCATTAGTAGAATTCACAGGAGAGAGCAAGTGTCCTTTAAATTTTGCCTGCCTCTGTCACGCTGCCTCCCAATTAGATTGTTCTGAACTCACACTAGTGGTAGGTAAGAGTTATTGATTACCAGTATCTTGGAAAATAATGGGTAGCCATAATCTTTTAAATTTCTGCTGTGTTATAGATGAAAGTGTATATTCCTTTTCTTTCAATTTGTTTTTATAACCATTGAGGATTTTTCTCATATTTTTATTGCCTCTTCTATTTCTTTTCTCTTGAATTGTTTATAATCTTCCTCTGTTCTCTGCCACTTGGTTTTC